TTTTGGCTTCGGAATTAGATCGGAAAGGATCTACAGTGATCTTCAGCCCGGGATTTTCTTGACATAAGGAAACCCCTCCATTATAGTCGATTGACACCGGCCACTTCCGGAACATTCGTATGATTGCAATTGATTCAAATCGGCCAATCAAGTAAAGTCCCCTCACGAAATATGCTTGGAGTTCAACTTGCAAATGAAATCTTCTGTAAAAACACAAACCAAACCTGGACAGAAGGAAATTTTGTCTTGTTAAAACGTGTTTGAATTTCTTCGTACGTAAAAAAAAAAACATTATTGATAATAAATATCTAAATATAGGTGGAAGAAATATCTAAAGAATGGAAACTAGAACCTGAGCATGAGTTTCGTTTTGAGGTAGATTTTGGCACGACAGTTAAATTGAAGGTATGCATTACTTCAACTGTAAAGCTCAGGAAAGTGGTATTTATTGGTGTTAAGGGTGTGTAAAAGAAAGAATATAATTGTATTTTATTTTTTATCAAAAATAAAAATGAAATATTTCTTGAGTTGGTGTTCGATATAATAACTTATAAGAATATAAAATTATACTAATTTAATGATCCGGTAAATTGTTTACTATTATAGCTGATTTCTGGTACAGCGGAGATATATGGCACAGAAATCGGCATTGGACCCGAATATGAATTTTCAGGTCGCAAAGTTGCAGTATTTACGTGGCATGGTTGCAAGATAGAGATATCCTAAATAGATGAAATTATTACAATAGAAATAATCAAGTTATAAAAATGAACATATATCCTTAGCAAAATTATTCAACACATCAAAGGGATCTGTAGCGTAGAATATGTCGCTAATGAAACGCCAATGACTAGTTATCTCAATATGCATCTTGCACTTGAACAACGCAGAGAAGCAGCCAAAGCCAAAGGTGAACAGGGACCAAGGGTAAGCAATTGTTAATATCGTATTTGAACGTATACAGTCATGTGACTGATAAATGTTTTCTAAGGTAATAATAGTAGGACCTGAAGATGTGGGCAAAACTTCCTTAAGTAAAATATTACTTGCTTACGCGCTGCGCCAAAGCCGACAACCTATATTTGTCGACCTCGATGTAAATGAGGCAAGTTAATTGTGTGATTTTAACTTAAGCTATCAACGTTTTTTTTTTTTTTTTTTTTTTTTTTAATATATTCGGGAAATTACATAGGGTTCTATTACAATGCCCGGTACTTTGACTGCGACCCCAATTAATCAAATAATAGATGTTGAAGAAGGATTTGGTTCTTCGGCAACAACTTCACCATCATTAGGATCTTCAATGCTTCCAATAGTTTATTATTATGGATATCCGGATCCGGGAGAGAATGTCAAACTTTATAAAGTATTGACGGCAAAATTGGCACAATCTGTCAAGCGTCGTATAGCCGAAGATGATGATGGTGTGAAAACTTTTCCTCTTTTACACACTTCTTCCTTTACACACATGATAATGCATAGTAACAGCTCATAACTTTTTCTAAATAATCTTTGCAGCTAGAATTTCGGGGATGGTGATAGACACGAGCGGTCTTATAGATAGTACGGGTTACGAGATTATCCAACATTGTGTGGATGTATTTGATGGCAAGTTAACTTAGATTTACCTTCATTGTGGTTGGTATAACACTTAAACTTCGGCTGAATTTCGATTCGATCTCTTCAGTGAATATCATTATTGTACTTGGCCACGAGAGATTGTACAGTGACATGGCAAGGCTATATAAAGACCGTTCTAACATTAACGTCTTGAAACTAGCAAAGTCTGGCGGGGCAAGTCTTTTTTTTTCATTGTAAATTTTAATAAAAATCTTTTAGAGTAAAATATATTGAAATTTAATTAACCGCAGGTAGTTGATAGAGAAAAAGTTTTTCGTCGTCAAGTTCAAATGCGTAAAATCCGAGAGTACTTTTATGGCTTGCCCAAATTCGAACTATCTCCTTGTTCAACATTGATCAATTTAAACGATATCAACATATATCGAGTAGGAGTTGGTTGGTATTAATTATTGTTGCATTTTGAATTATTGTGACAATCTACATTTTTTTCACCACGTGACATTAGGATCATTGGCTCCTTCATCTGCTCTGCCGATAGGGATTGATAGGAAAGTTAGTGAGACTCAATTAGTAAAGGTGGAGCCTGATGATACTATACGCCATTCCGTTTTGGCACTTACTGCCGCGAATAGTCCAGATGAACAGACATTACTGGAGTCCAATATTATTGGCTTTATATACGTGTATATATGACATTTCGTTTGTCTTATATTTGCATTTCATATGGTACTGGAAGCTTATACCCGACAACCCACGAAATGTTTCAATTTTCACGTAATTGCGATTGACCAATAAAATTAATGGTTTTCGACATTCTGCGCTAAAAAACACGGCATTTTTTAAAAAGCTAGAACTGAGCAAAATTATCGGACTCTTTATAGAAAGAATTTTTTTTTAAAAAAACTGATCGATAACTTTGTAGTGCTTGTTTCTATGTGTAAATTTATCGTCGCTTTTTTTAAAAAAATTTGTAAAAAGTTTTAGCGTTTAAAAGATACTATTTTTTGGTGCAGTATGTGAGATACATTAATTGGTCATTGCAATCACGTGAAAATCGAACAATTTCACGTGGTTATCGGGTATAAGCTTCCGGCTGACAATGCTTTCTATTTTACATTCTAACACTACCTTTGATTGCCATCAAACACCGTAGTTCAGAGGTTGATATGGTCAAACAAAAGATGACCATTCTGACACCGTGTCCTGGTCGTTTGCCTAAACAATACCTAATAATGGGTTCATATAAATGGATGGAAAGTTGATTACGATACACTTAAAAGTTATCACAATCATAAAGGTTGTCATTGTGCTCACGAGGATAGGTCTAAACGTTATGAATATTATGTCTAAATTATATGTTTGGTCTTGGGCTTTCCGAGTAACTTGTTGAAATTACTATCGTTACTGCGTCGTTGTGCCGTCGTTACTGCGTCGTTATGCCGTCGATATTGTCCGTCCGCTTAATCAATTCAACTTGCACATATTCTTGTTATAATAAAAAAAGTCGATTAATGAATGAATTTGAACGAGCTGATTAACATTCCTGCCATTTTCTTTACCATTATTGTTATTGCTATTGTTATTGATGGATTGCATCAAATTTGATATTGTACAACCTTTTTTTTTCGATTAAAAATGACATTTTACTGTTGCACAAAACCAAAGAATCTCACGTACGTATACACGTACGTACATACGTACTTACGTACTTACCTGTGTACCTAGTTATTTGAAATAGTAAATTCTTAATATGTCGCAATCAAGTAATTTAACAATTAAACTAATTAAACTGCGGTTGTGTAGCACGGAATGTATAAAGAATAAAGATTCAAGTTAATATAATTGGATTCACCGGAGTTTACGGATTTTCAACCGTTCCATTTTTGAATTCCTGAAGTCAACTACACGGTCGTTGAACCCCGTACAAGTGCTCTTTGTATACCTGTACTTTTTGGTTAGGCTTATAAAGTTGCTCCCTTTTGATTAGCCTTTCTTTTTACAATACTACTATTCGCATCTATAACCTTCGAATACGTGATATTTGTTAAAAAAAGGTATTACTTTTTTCGGTGGCGGTATTAATGAGGAATTTTAAATGGAAAATGCGAATGAACGCGAGAATTCTACGGACCTATAAATAACTTTGCATTTGCAAATTATGCTTCCTCATTTTAGACAAGACACGTCCAATCCCCTGGCATTAATTTCTTAATCGTCGTTTACAAACGAAGATCCTAACTAGTTGTTTGACTTCTTCCACATTGATCCAAAATTTCCGAAAGCTCATACGGTGTACGTTGAAGACATTGAAGAATGGGTCGCAAGGAATTCATTCAAGATGTCAAGACACTTAAAGAACATTTTCGTGGCCTAAGCTCTAAAAGTGCCGCTTTGGTGAAAGGTACTTGATCAACAAAATTCATCGTAACCTACATTTACTGTCTTTTCCAACGGTGTTCAATTTTTTTCGCGTATTAAGGCCACAAACATATATTTCTTTATTAGACTTTGATTTTCAGGATCCGGAATTAAGCTTTAAGTTCACATATAAGACTGGGAAATCGTTCACTGTACAGATCTTTGTTAATGGTAAGGTCGTTATTATTAAAATTAACTTCTAATTCAATTTTTTTTTATTTTATTTTAAATCCGATAATTTGATGTATGAAGTTTTCTTTTTCTTTGTTGATTTTCCAAGATTCGTCTTTACAGTCTTATCCATCTTCGTTCAGTGCATTTATATGCGTGGACAATGCAAACGATGATGATTCTAATAATGGTATGCATCTTTTATGATCTTTTAATTTTTGTTCCCGTAAATCATTTAAATTCTGATTTTAATTATTGGAATAGCTGCAAAATGCTTATCTAACGTTTGCATCGATAAAAAATCGGTGAGCGAAGTTGTGGCAACGATCGTACCTAAACTATGCGAACATTTTAAGATTTCTCTTCCCAAAGAACTCACTATGAATTCTCTAAGTAAATTTGCTCGTTCTGCTGGAGGTTCTTCAGCTCCAAAGCCTACTCCATCGACTGTTCAGACACCAATTATGATGCTAAATCGAGATTTAGCTGAGTTGAAACATTTTAAGTATGTTCGACCCTTTAAATAGCGTTGTTATATATATATATTTTTATATTTAATTATTAAATAATTTAAGGTTGGATTGTTTTATAGGTATCATGCTGAACTGCTTTGCGCAGATCAAATCGGCTTCAAAGTAGCAGTTTCAACGCCGGTAACTCGGCTTGGGCTAAGCTCAGAAGCTTGTGATGCGTGGAATTTAGATCCTGATCGGTAATTTGATTTGGAAAACTTATTAAATTAATTAATTAATTAATTTGTTTGTTTTATTTATGTTTATAATCATTTCATTCGGTTCAGGTTTTTGGTGTGCATTATGCAATTCTCACCAAATTATATAGACCTACAAAGTGTGATAGCTGACGCTTTCCAAAAAAAAGCATACCTTATTAAAGAAGGTGGTTATAAAGCCATAAAAGAATCGTTGAAAAAACAATTTCCTATCCAATTCACCGTACTGACGTCGACATTACCAAGAGGAATGCCAAGTCAATCTCATCACAAAGATGATACTTTGGAGAGCGATCATTTTGTACTTTCTTGGACCTTAACTAGACTTTTAAGTGACAAGTTCTTTGATATGTTATGCGATCGAATGTGGTTTGGATGTGGTTGGTCTGGTGTCGAATGGGCAGATCTTAAACGCAATAAAGAATTGGTTCATGATTTTCTCAACAATGGTGAACTTATTTCTGAACAAATTGATGAATGTTTAGCTAAAGATGAAGAACAGCATGGTGTTTTGGCCTATCTTGAAGGTGAAGAAATTGAAAGGGCTACCGCGTCTAAAAATCAAAATTTCCTTTTATTGGTCTTACGGTTTCTTCGTCGTCGAATTCTTCTTTCGACAAAATATTGTTTGACATGTCACTTTCCTCATATGGAGTCTGTGTCATCTATTAGACCTTTTGTTTGTGGAACCGCGTTATGTCAGCATCAAGCACTTGTAGGCCTTGGTAATCTTTTTGAAGCGGTTTTGGTGAATAGCCCAGTTGTTGTAGATTTGTTAATATCTTTATGTTACGTCGCAATAAGTAGCCATAATCTAAGCCCATTTCCATCCAGAGCTATAGGTGTTACCACTGTCACAAAGTACGAAATTCAAAATTCATTGGTTGTTGATTGGGATAATAATCAAGGTACGGTTGGTACACCTATTGATGCTGGATACGCGGTTTATGGATGGAAAGGGTTCGATGATCAAGTATTGGTAAATGATAATTTGGAGGTCTATCATCCAGAGACAGGTCAACCCTTTACCGTTAATCGATGCAGTCATACTTCCACTGTACGTGTGATAGAAGTTACATCAACATACTTAGTTACCGATTTTCCAATAATTGTACCGATCTCAGCTGTTTCCAACCGACATGTTTATTTGCCTTTCCGAGTTTATCGTCGAAGTGAAAAAAATTTTCTAAACGCGGATGGTCAACCTAATTACACCCTTTTACAGAGCGTCATCGATAAGTTGCCACAAGTGAATGAAATGGTGAAATATGCAAAAAAAAAGACTTTGAAACAAGAACTTGACAAATTGGACACTTTAGGTTTCCCACTTTTATCATGGATAATTTCTTCCAATCGTACACATTTGCGTCTATTAGAATCTGATGAAGAAAAAGTTCAGTTCAACGAAACAACTTCAGCATATGGAAATTGGAAACAATTCATTATGATAATGAGTTCCCCTGAAAAAGAAGAAACTTTTCAAATTGAAAAGGAGAAATTGAGGAAAGAAAGACGGGGACAAAGTATATAATTATTATCGTTATTTGAGGAATTAACGGGTCTTTTACTTATTGGTCCATATATTGTTTTTATTTTAGCTTTGGGTGAATTATATGCTTTTCACGGTTCTCCACTTCATAATTGGCATTCAATTATTCGGTAATACCACTTTTATCCATGTTCATGCTAATTATGTGACAAAGTTACTTTCTCATTTAATCTTACAATTTCTTAGAACATCACTTAATTGGAAAAAGGTTGTACACGGAAGAGCATTTGGGGATGGAGTTTATCATTCCCTTCAAGCTGCAACCTCAGCATCATATGCTGGCGCTTCATATCACCGATATGAAACAGGAGTATGGAAAAATTCGATGCTAGTTGTCCAAAAATGTATGGCTTTATGTGAAATAGTGAATAGGCCGACACAATTCAGAAGGTAATAATCAAACAATATAATATTTTAAAGTATAGTATTTTTTAATCGTAAAATTTCGAATCGCTCCTCAACGTTTCCTTGCTCGAATGTAACCATTAGCACAAATCCCCACTTGGTAGTTCAAGATGAAAACTGGATTACAACACGTTATCTTTTTGTCGAGTGTTTGAGAGATCCATCAGATCCTAATAACGAAAATGATGATGATGATTGGACACCAAATTATCAACCAAACCCTGTCGTCCCTCTATATAATATGGCACCATCTTTTGCCACATCATTATCAAATTCACTGTCTAACGTTCTCATTAATCGTCGAAGAGACAACACATATATAACACTAGATACTCAATATTATCCGATGTGGTTCAATAATCAACCATTGCAAATTCCTAAGCGTGACTTTTCAATAACCAATAATGAAATACCAAAAGGTAGTTCGGTCGGTGTGGGTCAATTTATTTACAAACCGGATGCGCAAGATATGATAAAAGGATCATTAGACTCTAGCTATCAATCAAACGGATTTGATGTCAACGATGAGGATACGTTGGATGAGGCAGACGATGATGCTGAAGAAGATCAGGAAATGGATGATAATGAAAATAGCGATGAATTTGATGATATGTATGATGAAGACCAAGACGAGGATTTAGATGATGGTGATAATTATGATGATGATGATGATGATTTTAATTTTAAGGAAAATGAAGAAAAGCATGATGACAGTTTGGAAATCGATGATGGTATAATATCGTTACTTCACTTTATACTTTATTCATAAATAGTTATTTACGCGAATCGGTGTAATTTAGGCGATGGTTTTGACCTTAGTTTGTTGCCTCTTCCTGGTATGTTTTTTGAAATTTACTTATAATTTAAATTAGCATGTATGTATAATTTAACTGTTCCATTCTTGCAGCGGAATCATCTAAAGCGGCTACCCAACGTATTTGCCGTGAATTAAGAACGATTATACATAGGCAGGATGACCCCTCTAATGATTTTGGCTTTATCGTTAATACTGAACAATTGCAGTCTGTTTACCAATGGGTAAATTTTAATAACTTTTTTTTTATTACACTCTACTTGATTGTATTAATGTTGCGTATTCCCACCAGGTCGTCCAACTTAAAGATTTTGATCCGTCTCTTCCATTGGCACAAGATATGGCCAGGAATAAAGTAAAAACAATTGATTTAGAAGTACGATTTGCACCAGATTATCCATTTGTACCACCGTAAGTTTCTTGTATTATTTATTTTTGTTTATGAAAAATTTTTAATTTAAACTTTCAACGCTGATCCCATTTTACTCATTATCAAGGTACATTCGTGTAATTAGACCAAGACTTTTACGATTTATGGATGGTGGCGGTGGTCATGTAATTATCAAAGCTTTTCCCTTATTCAATATTTTGTTAAGCATTTAACCATAATTTTTAACCGATTGAATTAGGTTACTGCTGGTGGTTCCATATGTATGGACCTTTTAACACTTGGAAACGCGCTTGAACGTGGTTGGTCTTCTGTATATACGATGGAAGCTGTCTTGTTACAAGTACGCCTATTAGTTTTATTAGTATATATACTATGAATTTATGCTTACTATATTTAAATCAGGTTAAAATGGCTTTGAGTTCGCTAGATCCAAAGCCCGCAAGACTTGATCGTCATTGGAACAACGAATATACACCTGGAGTGAGTAATATGTAGATTTTTTTTTTTTTTAAAAAAAAAAACGCAAATACCTTACTTCTTTTTATGATTTTTTAGGAAGCTATTGATTCATTCATAAGAGTTGCAAATAATCACAACTGGACCATTCCACCACAATGGTCTACTTTGTTCGGACGCTAGTGGAAATTAGTGATCCTAGCCAATAGTTAATATTGGCTAAAGCTAATTTTCGGTAGCCGGTCGATTTTCTTCAAAATCGGCTGATTGAATTCTTATAATTATAATAATTCACGAATGAGCTTTTGATAACTAAAAAAGTTTTTTTTTGTATATATATTGAGTTATGCTTTCTTATGTAACATCAAATATATTTTTATATCATTATAGTGCGTAAGCTGATGTGCTCAATTAATGGATTTGGATCATTGAGAAGTGGCACAATATATTAATTCGCATTAGGGTTTTTAATTGGCGTTATAAACTTATACCATAATACGGTATTATTGACAGAAATATGAACCCATTAGACTTTAGATTTTCCAATATTCTTATAAACAGAATAATCTGAGTCTTTTTTTATTTGTAACGCTTTAGAGCCGCCTAGAATATACACTACTTATATTACTCGTAAGAGACACAATTATGGCCTATTAAAGCAGGGTCACTAATTACCGATTTTTTTCATTAGTATTAAAAATAAGTTACATTTTTGGCTCAATTGGCCAAATTGTTTTTTTTAAAAAAATATGAAGTTCTAGACTATATAGCTACATATATAAATATAATAACTATATTTAACCGGAGGTAAAATTACTGCCCTTATGTTTTAGGGTTAGGGCGCAGTTCGAGACAAAGAGAAGGTTAGGTACAATAGTCCAAATTTTAGTTCAGGTTAGTTTTCGGGAGCGCTAAGTATTTTTACTTAGAATACCTGACCTTAATTACTTTGAGATATAACATCCCGGCCCCTGTTAAAATTAGCATTTTCCTTTTTATAATATATATAATTTATATTTTAGTGTTGGTTTGTATATTTACATCAGAAGTAAATTATAAATATTGAATATCAATTGAAAATAAGAGGCACTATTATAGGAATTTTTCTAAAAATTATTATATATTTATACTATATATACATATGGGCGATTCATAGCATTACTGATATCTCTTGATCTACTGGCCCGATTAGGATGATTTAGTTACCAAAATGTTCGTCTCGATGAGACTATTCTAACGAGTGCAAAAGCGCTAAAATCCAATTGCAGAATCCCGAGAACGCTCAAGTTTTGTACGATTTTAATAGTATTTTTTCGAATTACTATGAAAATGTCTTTAATGTTGAATAACTTTTGATCTACTGATCCGTTTTAGGTGGTTTAGCCACCGAAATAATCGCCTCGAAGCAACTATTCTAACAAGCTCAAAATCATTTATCCCCAATCACAGGATCCTGAGATTGTTAAGGATCAGTACGATGTAGACAATCAATTAAGAAATTGGGGTTTATATATATAAACCCATTTCTCAGTTAATTGTCTACGTCATTCTGATCCTTAATGATCTCAGGATCCCGTAGTCAGAAATAAATGATTTTGGGCTAGTTAGAATTCACTCAAACCAGATTAGTAGATCAAAAGTTATTTAACATTAAAGGTATTTTTATAGTAATTTGAAAAATACTATTAAAATCACACAAAACTTGAGTGTTTTTGGGATTCAGCAATTGGATTTTAGCACTTTTGCACTTGTTAGAATAGTCTCATCAAGACAAACATTTTGGTAGCTAAATCATTCTAATCAAGCCAGTAGATCAAGAAATATCAGCAATACTATGAATTGGCTCATATGATAAAATAATTATATTTATTTTTATTAATAAGATTTTTTAAAAATTATACTTATATACAAAAAAATTTTTATAAATTTTATAATTGGTTTGCTAGTTTGTTTTGAATAATTATATTATTAAAATAATTCTTTTAATTGATCTCTATTATGAATTACTGTAAAAACTATTATATAGTTTTTTTATAAATCTGAACTAAACTTATACTAAAAAAGTAAGTTGAGTTTAGCTTAATATCGAACTTTTAGAGCATGTTCAAATTAAGTTCGGGTTTAGTATAAAAGTTCATAAACTTGTTTAGATTCAATATACTCTTTAACTAGTGTCTTAAGATCAGGCCTGTTTGTTTTTATAAAATAGACCAAAAAAGAATCAGTTCTAATATAGCATAAATTAATTTTTTGTGATTTTGTTGGGTTTAGATTATAAGCACTATTATAATATACAATACAAGTGTAAGTAGAGCATTATACAACTTGTATGATTAAAGTTTATAATTAATATATATTTTGTATATATTGTAAGTGGAATGGAATTAGCATAGTAGACAAACTCAAATTTGATAATAATTGACAGTGGCTTAGTCAATTTAATAAAAAAATTTTTTATTTTTTATATAGTCTAAAATACTTTATACTCTTGTGATTTTTTGAAATCTACCAATTAAAGTTTACTCAAAAATATAGCAAAAAATCTTTGTATAATCTATTTATTATTAAAATTAATCCAAAATAATTCTAGTATTTAAAAACTTTTATTAAAAACAAGTTTTATTAGGAAATTCATAAGAAATGAAAGCTATTTAACTCATGATTCAAGCAAATGCTTTGTGGTAAAGATTTGTAAAAACACCTCAACTAAAAAATAGCTAAAACTATGTTGAACAAAGCAGAAGCTGATAAAATCTTAGCTTTTTATTATAAGAATCATAAGAATTATTATACAGTATATGTTTTAGTTGTTATAATATGATTATAATAAATAGATCAAGTACTTTTAAAAAGTATGCTATAAAATAGAAGAGAGGACTAAAAAAGACATAGAAAGAATAAAGTCTTTTCTATATTTAAAAGTATTTCTTTATTAATTAACATTATTTTTGAAAAAGAAGTTATAGAAAATAATTATCTTATTGTATTATTTTTAAAACTTTATTTAATTGCTAAAGACAAGAATAATCAATTAAGTTTTTTCTTTAATAAAATCAAAGTGATAGCTTGTTTAGAAAGAAAAAACAATATTGAGTATAAGGCACTTAATCAGTCTTTAGCATATCAATATTATTTAATATACTAAAATCAAAATATACTATACTACTTTGGAACTTAAAAAATAAATTAGTCAAAAGTAATCACAATCTTATGTGAATAGATAGCATTAACATCTTAGAGCTGTATCATTAATCACTTAATTATTTTTTATTAGAGGCCTACTTCCCCTCCTTCTCCCTTAATATACAAATAGTCAGGTTTCTTATATATAATTTTAACTTTTTTTACTCCTCTCCTTCCCTAAAAAATTACCTGATTTTTGTTAGCTCTCTTAACTAAATTTCTGCTTAATCAAAAAAAAAAATGAACAAAAACTAGCAATTTATAGCTTTAAATAGCTATAACAAGTAATAATAACTAAGAATTTTAGACTAAGTAGTTTTTTTAATTAAATCTATAATATATCTTTTTCTGAAAATAGAAGTAATAAATATTTAGATAAGCTAGATAAAAAATTGGTGGTAGAATATTATTATTTGTAATAATCAAAATTCTAAACTGTATTTAAAAAAAATATTTTATTTTTTGTAAATTTAATAAGGGTTTTTGCAAAAGCTATAGCATGTGCTAGTATAATGATTTCATAAAAATATCTTGACAAAGAAAAGACAGCTATTTCTAATAATCATCTATATAAAGTTGCTTCATATTTGAAAATTAAAAAGAACAATATATTAGTTCTTAATATTAATGATTATCATAATATTCACACCAAACGAATTTTAAATTAGTGTTCTGATTTGAGTAGGTCTTATCCAGATTACTGCGAGTGAGCAGATAACCTAGTTTGAAATTATAGCTACCCAGATAGTTAACCCATAAGTCAACACACAAATTACCTGTTGGTTAACTCATAGTGTAAATCTGTGATAGTAATTAACTATTTTGATTGGCTAACAGTCATGATCTTAAAATTGTTTACTAATTTCTGGCCAAAATTAACTTTTTGATTTTTTTATTACAAAAATATAAATTGTATACTATAGCAAAATTAATCTAGAAACAATTTCACTTAATAGGTAGTTGCAATTTTATTAGTAAATTTTGGTAATTCTGGCTCAATTTTTTGATCGTTGCTCTTAGCCAATTACTTTATAATATTAGCATTTAGTTAACCTGGTTGAAATTTTTTTATATGATAAGATTGATAGATATGAAAACAAACATTCTAAAATTGGATGTAAGATATTAAACCAATTAATGAAATTATTAAGAAGATTAATATAATATTCAAATATAATTTAAAAAAAAGATGATATTTAGACAATTAAAAAATCAACCAAAAATATAAACCAATTAATAAAATTATTAACATATCAGCCAACCGGTATGAAGAAGATTAATATAATATTCAAAAAAAAATAATTAAAAAATCAACCAAAAACAAACAACTAATAATCTATTGATTATATAAATTACAAGATATAACAAAAGACTTAACTAGTTATCTTTAAATTTCTTATTTTAAACCAATATTCTATAATATGATCTGATTATTTTAAAAATATATAAATTTTATAATAATATTTTACTGATGTTATTAAATTTTTTTTGATCTTAAATTAAACCAATATTAAGTTGATTAATTAAATTTCTATTAATCAAAAATAAATATTTTACAAATTATATAAATTACAAGAAAATATAAAGACTTAAGTAATTAACTTTAAATGTCTTATTTTAAACCAATATGCTATGACATGTTCCAATTATTTTATGAATATATATATTTTATGATGATATTTTACTGATGTTATTAAAATTTTTTTTTTATTTTAAATTAAGCTAATATTATGTTGATTAATTAAATTTCCATTAATCAATAATAAATATTTTACAGATTATATAAATTACAAGATGATATAATAAAGGCTTAACTAATTAACTTTAAACATCTTATTTTAAACTAATATGCAATAACATGTTCTAATTATTTTATAAATATATATATTTTATGATAATATTTTACTGATATTATTAAATTTTTTTTATTTTAAATTAAGCTGATATTATATTGGTTAATTAAATTTCCATTAATCAATAATAAATATTTTACAGATTAT